GCCCGTACAGCTGCTGCCGAAGGAGGAACTTGTAGACACGTCGCAGCACGCCAGCTGGCTCTCGGGCCTCATCCCCGTGAGGTCCACGGCGCCCGCCGGCTCCTCCGGGAGCAGCGTGGTCACAGTGCCTGCCGCGCCCTCTGCCATCTGCACCAGCACGGTGTGTGGCTTCCTGGCACCCAGCTCCGGCACCGGGCCTGCCTTGAGGCCAGTGCTCTGAGCAGTGCCCATCTGAGTGATCAAAACATCTCTTCTGGCCAGAGGCGCCACCTGGTTGGGCAGGTTATACCTGGCAACCTTGGCCTCCCTGGGTCTTCCCCGGGGCCCACCTCGGTACGGGGCTGTCTGGACGGCCTGCTCCACCTGCCTGACCTGGGCCAGGCACACGGGGCTACCTGTCCCCTGGCCGAAGTCGAGGCGGCTCTGGAAGGGGTCTCCATAGACCACAGGCTGCTTCTGCTGAGCCAGGAGCACAGAGGAGGCCACGGTGATGCTCACGGTGGTGGCCGTGCCGATGAAGGCCTGGGTCTGCTCCTGGGCGTTGAGGTTGATGACCAAAGGCTGCACCGCTGTGGACTGCCGCCCTGGGCCCGGCTCCAGCGCCAGGCCGTACTTCCTCGCTTCCACGGCCAGAGAGGTCAGGTCCATGCCCTGGTCAGTGAGGATGATGGGCGTGGGCTTGACGGCCGTGCGGAGGTCCACCACGGCACTGCCCGGGGGCCTGGGCCCGGGCTCCACCCTGGACGTTCCCGGGACGGAGGAGATCCGGCACAGGGAGATGTTCTCGGCAGGGAGGGCGCCCCAGCCGTACAGCGCCAGGGGCCCGTCCGCACCGGCACTGGCCGCCCGCGGGAAGCCAGGCGGCCCAGGAGGCTCTGAGGGCAGCGGAGACGCACTCAGAGGGGTGGTCTGGCTGTAGCCGTGGGGGGTGGGCTGCGTGTCGGTGGGGGACACCGGGGAGGTGGAGGCACTGGCATGGACCATCCTAGTCTGGCTGGAGGCCGCTGAGGCCAGTGTGATGACCATGAAGGGGGCCTCCCGAGGGGACTGCTGCCACGCCAGGCGGGGCGCGCCGGGTCCGTGTGGCGTTTGCGTGCCCTGCGCCACCATGGGGGATGGGGTGGGGGCGCCAGGGCTCCTCGGCATGTCCGAGGCCGGGGCCAGGCTTGGCGTCTGTGTAGAGAACTCGGCTGTGGCCCTGGGGCCCGGCTTGCCAGGGGAGAAGGTGGGGCTCTCTGAGGGAGAAGATGGGGAGAGCGGTGGGCTGGAGCCCGGGAAGTAGGCATATCCCTGGGAGGGCGGGGCAGGGCCGCCCTTGCCGTCACTCACACGCAGGGGCTTCTCTCTGGCGGCAGCAGGACCACTGGGCGCCTGGGGCATCTCTTCCGTTTGGGATCCATAGTTTGCGGTGGTCGGGCTCTGCCCATAGCCGTGGGCTGTGGCAGACGGCGAGGGGCTGCGCTCGGAGCCTGCAGGCGACGCCAGGGTCCCATACCCTCGAGCCGTGGTGGCTGGGGCCCCCGGGCCCTGGGGAAAGGATGTGCTGGCCTCCTGGGGGGCAGGGCTGGGGGAGGCAGGAGAGCTGTGCAGCTTGCGGGGGTCCTGAGGCTCCTTTGCAAAATGCTGGGTAACTCGGACGTCAGGAATGACCCGGCCGCCACTGCCGTCGGAGGAGGTGGAGGTGGAGGTGGAGAAGGGCACGGGGGCAGCGAGCTGGGTGGGGCTGGTGCCCGGGGTGAGCGGGCCGCCGTTTTGCTTCATGGGGTCCACGTACGCACTCTCGGCGTTCAGAAACTGCTTCTCCTTCTTCTTGTCCTCGGCGAAGGCCAGGTCTCGGGAGGAGGCCTGCCGCCCGCGGGCCAGGCTCTGGGACGTCTGCAGGGTCTCCTCGTACATGGCTGCCCCCAGGCCGGCGGGAGTGCCCTCCGCAGGCAGCGGGGCAGCCCTGCTGTAGTCACGGTCTGGGGCTTCCTGGAACTCAAAGGAGCCCTGGGCCCGGGGGCCTGTGGGCTGAGAGGGGCCACCCTGGGGCCCCCGGCCGCCCGCCACCTGGCCCTGCTGCCGCTGCTGCAGCAGCTCGGCCTTCCGCATCATCTCCTCATAGGCCTCCTCGGCACTCTTGAGGGGCCGCCCGGCGCTGGGGATGCCGGAGCTGCCCGCGGGCGGCTCAGTGGGCGAGTAGAGGGACATGAAGGTGGGCAGGCTGTACTCACTGCCTGACTTGTAGAGCCGGGCGGGGCCGCCGTCCAGGGCCTCGGCCTCCGAGTCCAGGGAGGGCGAGGGTGAGTACTCGGAGCAGGAGGAGCGGTGCAGCTCCTCCATCTCGGCCGCCTGCCGCAGCTCCTCCGTGGGGGAGGCGTCCTCGATGGGCGACAGGTTGCTGGGTGGCGTCTTGGAGCGCTCACGCCGGCGCTGGGCCCGCAGCTCCTCCTTGTCGCGCCGCGTCTTGCGGACGGTGCTGCGGATGCGCTGCTGCTCCACCTCCCGCATCTTTCTCCTGCTCGCGGCAGCAGCTCCTCCTCCTCCCGCAGCTCCTCCTCCTCCGAGGAGTCCTCGATGGTGGGCAGCAGGGGCCCGTGGGAGCGGTGCCGGGCCTTGCGCTGCTGCTTCGCTTCCTCCAGGCGCTGCCTGCGGCTGGGGCTGCTGTCGCTGTCCTCCTCCAGGGAAGACAGGGAGGTGGGCGAGGTGCCCGAGGTGTAGCTGGGCGTGGAGGCGGGCAGCGTGGAGGAGTGCTCCCCGCGGGAGCGGTCCTCGGGCGAGCCCGTCAGGCTCTCCATCTCCAGCTCGGGCTCGCGGTCCAGGCTGGGGTCAGCGCCTGGGCCCAGGTCCAGCTCGTGGCCGTAGCTGCCTGTGCTGTTGAGCTCGATGGTCTTGAAGCGGCGGAGCCCGCCCTGCAGGGCCCCGGTGCCGTCGACGGCCTCCGCGGGGCCTCCCTCGGAGAGCAGCTCCTCGTAGCCCGTGGTGGCGTTGTGGGGGAGGCGCCGCTTGGGCAATGCCGCTGCCTCTTGGCTGGGCTCGGGCCTGGGCCTGGGCCCGCCCTTCGGGGTGCCATGTTTGGCCAGGCCGTGCCTGGGGGTGGCCGCGTCCTCCTCCTCCAGGTTGTCCTCCTCGGCGCTCATCTCCAGGATCTGCCGCCGCATGAACTCCTCGTCGGTCATGGCTGCTGCCCGGGCGGGGGGCTGTGCAGGGAGCGGGGACAGGCCGCCCTCGCTGCTGTCCTCCACGTAGTCGTGCCGCAGCTGGCTGCCGAAGTCGTCCGAGGACTCCGCCGTGTCCCGCTGCTCCCGCTCGCGGCCCCACTCCACAGAGTCCTCCTCTTCCTCCAGGATGTCCTCCAGCTCCTCATCGGAGTCGAAGGCCTCAGGCATGATGGACAGGGAGTGGGGCCGCCGCTTCTGCTCCTCAGCACTGCTGCGGGGCGCCTTGCTCCGCTCGCCACTGGAGGCTGGGCCCTGGGCCTGCAGGGAAGGCCGCACGCTGCCCGCCTTGTGGAGCTGGGAGGGGCTGGGCGGGCGGGGCCCGGTCACCCCTGCGCTGTCCAGCTGCTCCCCCTCCTGCTGCACCACACCGGTGATCTCGCTTTGGGAGCTGGAGACGCCGTCGGAAGAATAGCCCGTGTCGCTGAGGCTCTGTGGGCTCCGGGACAGGTCCTGGGAGTAAGGCTTGCCCACCAGCTCCTGCAGCAGCGAGAGGCAAAGGCTGACCCCGTGCAGACAGCTCCTCGGAGCCCCGCCCGCTCCGTCAATCCCAGCGCCACCCCGGGTCACAGCCCCACCTCTCCGCCTCTCTGGCCTTGAATAACCTGCAGGTTCCCAGGCAAGCCCCAAGCAGCCCCAGGTTCTCAGAGAAACCTGACTGGGTCTAACGGTACCAAAACCCAGCAAAGCATGCAGCAGGCGCCAGGCACAGGGCTAGCTCATAGTCCACAGCTGCAGCCCCCACGGCCTCACAGAGGCCGCCCTGCCCTCCTCTGGGGTCCACGGGCCCGGCCGACACCCCAGCCCCAGGGCCCGAGCCGTCCCTAGACGTGCACTTGAGTTAGGGTCCCCGCGAAGCGAGTGGCACTGACCTCGGCCTCCCCACCCTTGGGGGCTTCTGGAGCAGCCTTGACGGCGGGGGTGGCGGGCTCGGTCCTCCGCGCCCCGGCCTTTGCCTTCGGAGTCCCAGGGGGCAGGGCAGTCTCTGGAGGGGGTTTCGGCACAGGCTCCGCTTTGGCCGGGGGTCCCGTCTTCTTTTCCTGGGCACCGCTTGGGGTCCTGCTGGGCTCAGAAGCCCTGAGGGGCTTTGCTTGGGGGCTGGCCTTGGTGGGCAGGGGGCTGGCCTTGGCAGGCAGAGGGCCTGAGGGCTGGCCCGGCCCCTGGGGCCCTTTCTGCTTCGGAGGGGCTGTTCCGGCCGCACGGTGAGGGGCCCCGGCGGGGGGCTGCGGCGAGGCGGGCGGTGGGCAGGGGGCTGGCTCCCCCAGGCTGCCCTCCAGCAGTCGCTTAGTTTGGCAGTTCAGACAGAGCCACTCGGATTTCTGTGAGGAGAGGAAGGGAAGTGGGGATCATGGAGACACTGAAGTACTCAGAGTATCTCCATGACCCTCTGTAACCTGGAGGAGGAGCAAGCCTAACGCAGGCACAAAGCAGAGGGGAAGACTGGTGGGTGTGCTGCCCCAGATGGCAGACTCTCCCAGGCTTAAGGCATTCGGAGCCCGGCCGGCGTGGCTCAGGGGTTGAGCGTCCACCTATGAACCAGGAGGTCACAGTTCGATTCCTGGTCAGGGCACAGGCCCGGGTTGCGGGCTGGATCCCCTGTGGGGGGCATGCGGGAGGCAGCTGATCAAAGATTCTCTCATCGTTGCTGTTCTATCTGCCTCTCCCTCTCCCTCTCCCTTCCTCTCTGAAATCAGTAATTTTTAAAAAGCACGTATTCAGAGTTAAAATGATGAAACCAAAAGAAGGGTCCCTTCCTCTCCCCACAGAGAGCTTCCCCCACCAGACAAGGAGACGGAGGGGAGGGGAGGGGAGGCTACGGCACAGAGGTCTGGACAAGAGGGGCATCTGGGCCCCCAGGGAGCAGACAGCCCCTCTGGCTGGTGTGGAGCCTCAGCAGGCCAGCAAGGGCATCAGACAGGGCACCCCTGGGGTGTGGTCCCTCCCACCTCCTTCCCCAGCCCTTCCTTCCCCAGCAAGGGCTGCGGGCGGCGGGGGGGGGGGGA